TTGCCATGGATTATTTCGAAAAGAAAAGTCGAAAGAAAAGGGGAAGGAGTTCGAATTCGAAGAAAAATAAACTGAAATCAAAGGAATTTACCTTAATCTGAAGCGAAAGTTGCCGATTTACGAGTTCGTAGTGGCAAGTCTCAGTTTCTAAGCTCAATGCTCGGGGAGTTTGCGAAGTTTTGATACGGATTCTCGGTTTCTCTCTCGAAGAATTCTGGGTTTGTGTTGGTGAATAAGTGAGGAGAATGACGCGCCTCTGTTTATATCTCCAGGTACGGGATACGAAGAGTCTGTGCTTTAATTTCTCTTAAGTACCCACTAAGTAACCATTAAACACATGTCTTATGATTAAACCGCCCATTATCCGTCCAACTTCCGCAAATCATTAACCGTTGTTATCTCATTAATTACGGTTTAAATTCAAATTTTTGGATCAATTAAATCATTTACTTCCCTCCTTTTCTGAGTTAAATCAAACCCGACCCGTCATTCTTCCAAATCGGGTCTGGGGGGCAAGTTGTTTGGGTCCAATTTAGTCAAAATTGGGCCTGAGCACTAAATGATCCAATTAAAAGCCCAAGGTCAAGGTTCAACTCTCCAATTGCTCAAAAGTCAAAAGTCAGCCCACAAAGTAAGCCAATTGGGCTAAAGCCCAACCTCTCCAAGTATGATGAGGTATAAAAGCCCTCATATTAACACATTCAAGGAGAGATCAGAGACATCATCACATACACTATCTCATACACTGATTATTCCAATTCATATGCTCATTCTTGCATTGAGAAATACTCCACAAAAGCCTCAAGCTACAAACTCTCTTGCGTAGTGTCTTCCTTTTTACACATTGTACTGACTTTAGCATCGGAGGGGCCTTCCTCGGAAACACCCCCGAGGCTAGTTTACGTGTGTTCACTGTGCAGGAAACCTTCGGCCCAACACAGCTTGGATCGAATCCAGTCTTCTCCATTTCAGTGGACCTTCGGCAAGGTCCCATTGTTTTCAACCGAAACAAAAGATTTTATTAAATCGGATTGAGGGTTTACAGAATTATACCTGTATATAAGCTGAATAAAAAGTATATAAAATTTTATTAAACCTTCCATAACTCGGGTTCATGTTATAATTAGGTCGGGTACTAATTCAGGTTCGGATTGTTTTCGGGTCGGATTAAATCGGTTGACGGTTACTATCAAGTCGGGGGCTGGTTCGGGTTCAAGTCATAAAGTATTGGATCAAATGGATTTTCGGTTAAGATCAGGTTCAGGTCAGATTACAGGTCACTAGTACTTGTTATACATATTTACAGCCAAGCCCCTAAATTGTATTTTCTAGTAATATAAGAAGATTAATGTGACTTCAGTCATGCTGCCTGATGTGTTACTTATGCATCGGCCTCCTTAAATTTTGGAATTATTCCCATAAATTCACAAGTTTTAAGCCAAAATCTACATGCTTCTCCAAATCACCCCAATAAAGATACCTAATATAAGTGATCAATTAGTACTTGCCATTGGAAGAACAATCATTCTTGCATAACAATACATGAAAAACAAATACCTGAATCAGGTTATACATTACACTTATTGAACGAGTATGATTTCTAGTCGTAAATAACTCTCAACATGTACAATCGTTGCCGTACAACCTTGTGACATGAACTTGGTGCTTTGAAAGCCCTTCCTAACATATGGAACAAGGATGCATATACTGATGTATATGATACAACAATTCCTGTACTCATAGTTTTTGCCTTCACCAAAGTTGCTATTCACTGTTCCATATCCGAGCATCTCCGCTTCCTTGATGGACCAAGTCTGGGTTTTCTCTCCCTCAAACGTGCTGCCATGATCATTTTTGCTACATCCTACACCAAATATTACAACCAAATATTCAGTAAAAAAAAACAACAAAACTGTAAACCACTTGCAAAATAGACCAAAATGCAACACACCTTCACACCAATATTCCCATGGGGTGCTTCTGCATCCCTTGCCGTCCTAAAGTGTCTTTCTCCATAGGCAATGTCTACCATCTGCATTATATTCAACAACACTTTTAGCAATGACAATAAAGCCATGACTGTGAGTCTATAGCAATGTATCAAAGTAATCAAATAAACATCACACTACATACTCCGAGCTTCCCAAAGTCCCCTGAATTACGTCGATCGTCCTTAGATGCCATTCTAATTTGCTTCATAGACCATACCTTTACCCTTGGGAACATATCCCACCGCACAGGATTCCTGTTCAGACGGTCAAGATAGAAAATCTGCACATATTCAAACAAGTCATTTGTACGCTCCTTGTAATAAGGTATGTAGAACCATAACACAGTGTTAGAAACTTGCTTACAACGGCAAATATCACACAACCACCATACCCACCAGCAAATGCATTAGCATAAAAGCGACGTGCAAAGCTTGATACGCTATCCATTAATTTTTTAAGTACCAAATCACACCAATCATACTCCACGCAGTTCATCACGCAACTTAGAGCTGGTAATAAGTCTGTCCCTAGTCGCGGGGATTGAGTAGTGTAGACACCTATCTGTGTCTCCCCAAAACCAAACCCGGTGATGAGTACCTTTCACGTCGAATCATAATCGAATGAAACGAAAGTGTGGAAAGGTCTAGTGTTGCGGAAAGTTTTATTTCTTTTCTTTTCTCTTCTTTCTGTTTTTTGAAAACTTTATTTTAAGAAAACAGCCAATCCAGTTTGGTTGGTCCATGATATGGGTCTAATAGTGGTGTAGTTGGATGGGGCTTGCAAAGACCTTTCCAACGATATATTATAAGCCCGATTCCGATGAATATTGAGGAATTTATGGCCAATTTACTAAACTGGGCCCGGTTCGAGTTTTAAATATGGCCCAATGATCTAGGAGAGGGCCTAATATGATTTATCATTCCTAATGTAATTAGGAATGGTTTTGGTCTTCTAGAACATTCTAGAAGGTTTTTTCATTCTTAATTCAATTAGGATTCTTCAGAGTTTTAATTAGATCAAATAGCATTTCCGACTGAAATTATATTATTTTATCTTCCAGTACGGGAAATTTATCAGGTTTTCGAAAACGCGTTGAAATCCAAATTAGCGTCCAACCCCAGGCCTTGGCGCCTGGAATCAGGATTGGCGCCAGACGCCAGCCATTGGCGCCTGGCGCTAGCCACTGATCCCGGCGCCAATGAGCCTGGCGCCAAGTTAGTTTTGCGATCTTCAGACTCTGTTTTGATAAATTATCTTTTTTGGCTGATTTTCTCTATAAATATCGTATCAAAAAACTCCGTTTTCATTCATCATCTACAAGTATCATAAATCCACAATCACTTTATGAATTACCAATAATCAATTCTTTTTATTCATCAAATTCTTTGAATTCATCTACATCATTCATTCATCAATTTTCAATAACATTAATATTTTAGCATTCTTCTTTTCTAAACCTTTGCTTTTTAATACAAAATTCCGCATTCACAAGATCTAGAAACACCTAGCCATATTCGAAGTTGCCTTCGCCCTAAACGTGAAAGGTTTTAATTTCTGAGGGTTTGGTCCCAAATCTCTCTTTCAATTATTTAATTTAATTGTTTTGATTATTATTTTTCCTTGAAATTACTAACGTGTGTATTTTGTAATTAGAAAGAGATACGAGGCATCCAAGTAAGTACTTTAAGGGATTTTATTGATTCATTGATTTCATGATGTAGATATCATGCTTAGATTGTTATTTATGATTCCTAGTATCATGTCTAGGGTATCTTTAATATTAAGTATGATGCTTCCTATGTTCTTCCTAATATTTATTATGATTATTATGATTGATGATTATTGATTATTTATTATGTTGCTTGATATGCATATTATTATTATTGTTATTGCTTGATCACCTTTTATTGCAGGTTAAAGGGAATTGGTATTTGCAAACACGCTTAATAAGATATTTAATAATCTTGTTAGGTTAATTGTGATTATAATTCAAGTGATCGCCAATAATAGTTTGTTTGTGCATTAAATTCAACCAACATAGATTAAACAGGTTTAGGGTTAATCCTATTGATTGTATGTTAGTCAGAAAGCGCACATGAATACGAGCAGAATAAAGTAGAGGCCTATTATTAGGGCAGGTTTAATCTCTTTTAGGTTGGATTTGTACCATCATCCCCGGACCCTTATTTTGGTTCCTGACCTTATGGAGTTGGCGATCTCTTGGATCGTTAAGGGGTGTAACCTTCACCTCGTGAACGGTTTACAAGTTCCTTAAAAACTTGTTAGCGACTCTTTTGCTCTATCTTCTTCCCTTTTGGACGCCACCGTACTTTAGTGTATGATCACAGTGGGGTTCAAGCTAGTGGGATTTTAAAGGCTTGAAATTATTCCCTACAAGTAGGACATAAGACCATGTGCAACGACACAATAAGAAATATTGACTTAAATTCTTCTTCTTCATCGTCACCAAACTCAGCCTCCAACCGACCCATCATTTCACTACTCACAGGTATGCCAATTGAAGTGTACACACTACCACAACCTCTACTAGATTTTGTTTTCCATGAAGTACCATACTTGAGCACCAGTTGTTGTACCTTTGCACGAACTTCCCCAGTCATTAATTTTGAATTAGGAACTGCCTTACTCCCACATGGAATTCCTAATATCCACCGTACTTGGTTCTTAGAAAATGAAAATACACGCCCATCGGGAGCAACCATGGTTTTACTGAGGGGATCTATTCTAGTCATTACCCAATACGCTAACTGTCTCGGTAACTGCGTTTTTGATACAAAATGAAGGAGTCCCCCAAACCCCATCTCTGCGTTTTTGAATAAATGGCAAATTTTCAATTGAAAATGACATTAAAAGGGCAATTGCATTTACAACAATTTTAACATATATGATAACCCTAAATCCAATTCAATTACTCACATTGCGACTCATAAAGAACTGACCTGCTATTTTGCGCAGCAACAATTGAAGGACTAGCTTCACAATTGGTAATCAGATCAATGCTAGTAGCTCAATATTCGGATGCGACTCATGTTTGGTTCTTGCTCTACCCCCTGGAATGGTTAACAACATCGCGTCGAAAATAAAACTTGTATGAGCTTGATAACTGGTTTCACCAGGTTCGTCTGATACAACATGCTCACATATGATTACTTTTCCATCTTCTGGCAAAGCTTCATGGCAATTCTTCAACAATTTAATACATTGTTCATTATTTCCTGCTGTATGAAAAGTCCACTGGAGGAAAATAAAAATAAAAACTTTATTATGTTATTACCACATTAAGGCATTAAATTAAATACTACCTCCGTTACATCTTATTTATGTCAAATCGTTGCAAATAATATGTAACGGAGGTAGTATTTAAATATGCCAAATACAAAGTATATAGTAAAACTATACGATTTGAGTTACTAAATAAGTACTAGCTACTACCTTGACCCAGGCTAAGGCGGTAATTTAAGGCCCGATTTATTACCTAGAATCAACAGTTATGCAAAAAACACGACTTGACATTTTATTAATTGTATTTTATTTATCGTTCACTTCATTTTGATTATTTTATTTATAAAATAACATAAAAATATGACATAGTAAAATGCTAAGGTCTTTGATATTAAACTTGAAATTTTATGTACAAATCTTGTACAGTATAAACCTTATTGATATACTTCGTATATACTTCGTATTAAATAGTGGAAATCGCCACATGACATGCTCTCTTGAACTCATCTATAACACGTTAATAGTTTAAAGTTATTGATGCAAATCTAGTTATCTAAACACTCAGGCCAGGGAGTAGTATCATATACCATTGACTAACTTTGACTAATGACTATTTTTTTTTATATTAGTCTATATATTTTTATGATTAATTTGTTATCTTTATTCTTTATATGGTCAACCTTAGTGTTGTTGAAGAAAGACAAAAGAATTAAAAAGACCTCTCAAAGTAATTAAAGGGCACCTTCATGAATATAGCGTCACCCTTTGGTACATTGATGTACATGTCTCCTCCAACATGCTCAATACCTGCATTAATATAGAGATAATAACATATACGAAGTATTATACTATTGAACTATTTATTAGTAGTTGAATACTCCTTTTGATATAAATAGGAGTGTTTGTTTTATTTTGAGGAAAGAATTTTCAAGGCTCGTACTCCCTTCACGCACTTCACTATAACATTAACTTCGTAAGTCATTTTAGCTAATTTTTTTCAAGTGAATTTTAATACAAGTCTCCCCTATATTACTACGTATTAAACAGTATTAACTATCTTTGTAAATATTAATTCATCAACGATTTCACAAGCATTTAATTTATGTTCGTTATATTATAATTCATTTTATAATGTTATGTTAACTCGATCAACTTTTAACCAATAATGATGACGTAATCCTGATCAATTAGTGCTAAATCAAGTGGAGTGGACGAACAAGACTTTAGGGAAGGGTAAGGGCTCTTTATTAATTGTAAAATATTGACTTTTGTATTGTTCATATATATAACTAATTATATAAAATTATGAGTAATTTATACAAAATTTAAAAAAAAAAATGTTAAAAAATTAGTACTTCATAATGAAGATCTTTAAATCAATGAAATGAAAAGATTATTTAAATAATTGACCTATTCTTACCAGGAAAAGATGGTGCATCTTTAATGATATGAGGCAGATCAAAATTAATACCCTTAATTGAGGGGTATTTAGGGATAATCATGTTGAGTGTAACTCCAGTTGCACCACCAACATCAACGAGTGATGAAATACCTTCAAATCCTTTATAATTATCTAAGATTTTCTTAGATACCATGATTGAGTGATGGTCCATTCCATCATAAAAAACATTGTAAAATCTTGAATTTGTACCAAGATAATCAAATACGCCCATACCATGAGCCAAATTGAAAGGAACTCCACCGTCAAGTACCGCATCTTTCAAATGTTTCCTGCAATACTCAACCATAGTATGAATCTATCAAGATAAACCTTATAAATCAAAATTATATATACAACTTCCGTTAATTTTTATGTGCAACTTTAGAATATTTTATATCTCACAAATAATACCTCAATGTTGCACATAAAAATTACATGTGATAGATTAAGCATTATTCATTTATTTGTCACTTGCCAACAAAGTATACATGGATCCAATAAGACCATTACAAAAGTCACAACTCACAAATTTTAATTGAATTTATGCATATAAATATGAAGAATTTGAGGTGTATATGGTCTGAATCATTAAGGTCAAAACTAGTCTGATTAAAAATTCAAGCGAAATTTTGTTAGATTTGAATCACCATTATATAAGGTTATTATTAAAAAAAAAAAAAAAATCACCACCATATAATATTACTATTGTAGCCACTATGCCCACTAGTCTACTACCTTAACAGAAATAAATTGTACAAAGTAGTAAAAAAACATGTGTGTAACTCAAAACATGTGAAAGTTTCACTTACCAAGAATTCATGACAACCTTATCATACATGAGAGTGGCAAAGGCACTATATGAACCCCCACCACCATTCTTAACCAAGAATTGGCAAACAGGCCCAAGTCCATAGACCCTTTCAACCTGACCATTAGGCCCAACACGGTTAGAGAAGGTGACAATGGTAAAGTTAGCCAAGATGCGTAGCAAGCGGTCTAAGACCACCGCGGCATCTGGATTAGTGGTGGTTAATTGGGAGGCGATCTCTAACGACGAAAGTTGGGCATCAGGGCCTGCTTATTGATTATGTTGTTGGCAGATAATTAAGAAACATAAAGAAAAAAAATAAATGGTTATTAAATAACCATGCATTACCATTGAAAATTAAAGGTGTTTCCAAATATAGGGAAAAATAACTAATGGTAATAAATATTGCAGGCTAAATTTTAAATGGCTTAGGTTGTTTTAGGAAAACTATAAATTGAGCATTTCCTTCATTTGTATGTAATAATTTTCAAGAGAAAATCTGAGAGAAGAAAAATAACTCAGAGAAAAGAGGGGTTGTGTTTTTGCACTTTGGTATAAATAGACATTTTGTTTATGTAATTTATTTCTCCCTCAAATTTGATTAAATAGAAAAGTTGCATTATTTTCTTAACAATTGGTATCAGAGCTTCGTTGACAATTAGTCCACATTACGATAAAAATAAAAATGATCCTAAAAGAAAAAGTCAAATTTGAGTGGGAGAAATGGCTACAGACAAAGGAGAAGTTAAACTTGAAAAATTCGATGGTAAAGATTTCGGATTTTGGAAAATGCAGATTGAAGGTTATTTATACCAGAAAAAACTCTATCAACCTCTGGAAGAGAAAAAGCCAGATGGCATGCAAGAAGCAGAATGGAAACTTTTAGATAGACAAGCACTCGGAGTTATTCGATTGACGTTATCACGCAATGTGGCGTTTAACATTGCAAAGGAAACCACAACGGCAGGTCTCATGAAAGCTCTCTCTAATATGTATGAGAAGCCATCAGCCTCCAATAAAGTTCATTTGATGAGGCGGTTGTTTAGTTTGAGGATGTCGGAAGGTGGATCGGTAGCTCAACACCTTAATGAACTCAATTCTGTCACAACCCAATTGAGTTCTGTTGAAATCAAATTTGATGATGAAGTATTAGCGTTAATACTTTTATCTTCCCTGCCAGATAGTTGGAATGCTACAGTCACAGCTGTGAGTAGCTCATCGGGAAATAACAAGTTGAAGTTTGATGACGTTTGTGATCTGGTTCTTAGTGAGGAGATTCGACGAAGAGAATCAGGTGAATCTTCATCCTCTTCAGTATTGCATACAGAGTCAAACGGAAGAAATTTAATCAGAAGGAATGAACGCGGAAGATCAAACTATCGAGGACAATCCAGAGATAGGAAGTCAAAATCCAGGAATCCAAATAATTTCCAAAACTCAAATACTGTGGAGTGTTGAATTGTGGAAAAATTAGGCACTATAAAAAATCAGTGCAAGAGAACACCAAAAGGCAAAGAAGTGAAGGCAGAGGCAAATGTCACTTCTACCGGAGAAGGTGATGATACGTTGATATGCTCATTGGAGAGCAAAGAAGAGTCTTGGGTATTAGACTCTGGAGCATCGTTCCATGCTACTTCTAATAAAAACTTTTTTGAGAAGTATGTCCATAGAAACCTTGGACAGGTATACCTTGGTGATGACCAACCTTGTGATATTGTTGGTCAAAGTAATGTCAAAATTAAGTTAAATGGTCAGCTTGGGAGCTGAAGATGTCAAACATGTTCCCGACCTAAGAAAGAACTGATCTCAGTTGGCAGTTGGCTTGTGAAGGTTACACTATAATCTTTCAAGTGATAATTGGAAGATTTCAAAGGGAGCAATGATAGTTGCTCATGGTAAAAAGAATGGTACTCTCTATTTGACAGCTGGAGCGCGTTATTCGATTGCAGTTGCAACAAAGAATGAAAATTCCAAGTTATGGCACCAAAGACTTGTCACATGAGTGAGAAAGGAATGAAGATCATGCATTCAATTGGAAAACTCCCTAGTCTAAAATCTGTGAATTTAGACATGTGTGAAGAATGCATACTTGGAAAACAGAAGAGGGTAAGCTTCAGACATATGGAAGAACTCCAATGAAAGAAAAATTGGAGCTTGTTCATTCTGATGTGTGGGACCAACAACCACCCAGTCTATAGGTGGAAAACAGTATTGATGATCACTCTAGGAAAGTATGGGTTTACTTTCTAAAATACAAGTCCGAAGTGTTTGAAGTTTTCAGGATATGGAAAGCTAGGGTTGAAAATGAAACAGGTCTGAAGATCAAAAGATTCAGGTCCGACAATGGCGGAGAATATGAGGACACCAAATTCAAGAAGTTTTGCTACGAGCATGGTATTAAGATGGAAAGAACTGTGCCAGGTACGCCTCAGCATAATGGCATAGCTGAGCGGATGAACCGAACATTGACAGAAAGAGAAGCATTCGTATACAGTCAGGTCTACCAAAACAATTCTGGGCAGAAGCAGTCAATACAGCAGCTTACTTGATCCATCGAGGACCATCAACCCCATTGGAGTACAAATTACCAGAGGAGGTATGGAGCGGCAAAGAGATCAAATTGTCGCACTTAAAGGTATTTGGTTGTGTAGCTTATGTGCACATTAGTGATCAAGGCAGAAATAAGCTTGATCCTAAATCAAAAGTTTGCACTTTTATCGGTTATGGCGAAGATGAGTTCGGATACCGCATTTGGGATGATGAAAGCAAAAATATTATTCGTTCAATCAATGAGAGAGTCATGTACAAAGATAGGCATAAAATTGAGAGTTATGAAACAAATCAAAAAGAATCTACATTCATTGATGAAGATTATGTCCCAGACAGTACGATGCAAGAGTACACTATCATAAGTACTCCGCAACAAGAAGAACAGACTGTACAGGGCAGTACATCGCAATCAAATGACATACAACAACCTTCTTGTCCAACTCCTACCCTAAGAAAGGAGTACTCGACCACATGTGCCTAATAGAAAATATATGAATTATTTGTTATTAACTGATGATGGGGAACCAGAAGATTATTATGAAGCATCCCAGACCAGAGATGCTAGCAAGTGGGGGCTTGCAATGAAAGATGAAATGCAATCCCTGATTTCAAACCAGACATGGGAACTAACTGAGTTACCCATAGGTAAGAAGGCCCTTCATAACAAATGGATATATCGAGCAAAAAAGGAGCACAATGATTCCAAGAGGTATAAGGCTCGACTAGTTGTCAAAGGTTTTCAACAGAAAGAAGGAGTTGATTATAATGAGATATTCGCTCCTGTTGTGAAACTCAATACCATTAGAACAGTGTTGAGTATTGTTGCAATTGAAGATCTTTATCTCGAGCAGTTAGAAGTGAAGACTGCATTTCTTCATGGAGATCTTGATGAAGAATATACATGCACCAGCCAGAAGGTTTTATAAAAAGTAGGAAAAGAGCAGATGGTATGCAAACTTAAGAAAAGTTTATACGGGCTAAAACAAGCCCCAAGACAATGGTACAAAAAGTTTGATAACTTCATGCACAAGGAAGATTTCCAGAAGTGCAACGCTGACCACTGTTGCTACTTCAAGAGATATCAATCCAGTTATATCATCCGATTACTTTATGTTGATGATATGTTAATAGCAGGTTCTGATATGAATGATATTATAAAGTTGAAGCATCAATTGTCAAAGGAATTTGACATGAAGGACTTGGGTCCAGCAAAGAATATTTTAGGAATGCAAATCACAAGAGATAAGCAGAGAGGCACTTTGCAGTTATCACAATTAGAGTACATCAAACGTGTTCTTCAGAGATTTAATATGGGTGATGCTAAGCCTGTTAGTACACCGTTGTGAGTCATTTTCGTCTATCAAAGGATCAGTCCCCTCAGACAGATGAAGATAAAGAATATATGGCCAAGGTTCCTTATGCCTCGGCTATTGGAAGTTTGATGTATGCAATGGTTTGTACAAGACCAGATATTGGACATGCAGTGGGAGTTATAAGCAGGTTTATGTCCAATCCAGGAAAAGTCCATTGGGAAGCTGTTAAATGGATTTTGAGGTATTTACGAGGTACAATTAATAAGTGTTTGTACTTTGGTAAAGGTGAATTGAAAATACAAGGTTACGTTGATGCAGACTTTGGCGGTGAAGTCGATAATAGAAAGAGCACAACGGGTTATGTATTTACAGTTGGAAATACAGCCGTAAGTTGGATGTCCCAACTACAAAAGATTGTTGCTTTATCCACTACAGAAGCTGAGTATGTGGCAGTGACCGAAGCTAGTAAAGAGATGATATGGCTTCAAGGTTTGTTAGATGAGCTGGGGCTCAAACAAGTGAATAATATTTTGTATAGCGATAGTCAGAGTGCTATACATTTAGCAAAGAATTCGGCGTTTCACTCAAGAACAAAGCATCGGTATTCGTTATCACTTTATCAAGGTCTAGAAGAAGAAGTGTTAACTCTTAAAAAGATTCTTGCAATAAGAATCCAGCAGACATGTTAACGAAAACAGTGACGATTGACAAGTTGAAATTGTGCTCAACATCAATTGGTCTTAAAATGACAGAAGACTAGTTGAGGTTCTACTCCTTGGTGTGAAGACAGATTGAAATCAGTCTTCAAGTGGGAGATTGTTGGCAGATAATTAAGAAACATAAAAAAAAAAAAATAAATGGTTATTAAATAACCATGCATTACCATTGAAAATTAAAGGTGTTTCCAAATATAGGGAAAATAACTAATGGTAATAAATATTGCAGGCTAAATTTTAAATGGCTTAGGTTGTTTTAGGAAAACTATAAATTGAGCATTTCCTTCATTTGTATGTAATTCCTTCATTTGTATGTAATAATTTTCAAGAGAAAATCTGAGAGAAGAAAAATAACTCAGAGAAAAGAGGGTTGTGTTTTTTGCACTTTGGTATAAATAGACATTTTGTTTATGTAATTTATTTCTCCCTCAAATTTAATTAAATAGAAAATTTGCATTATTTTCTTAACATATGTCAATAATGTTTAGCTCAAGGACTGCTTTGAACACCATAGATGGTACATGGCTAGTAGCCAAGCACATTGCCATAGAGAGGGCCTCCTCTTCAGTAGTTGGGCCTTTTTGTGTAACATTATTGCCCATAATTCAGCTTTTGTTTTTTCTTTTTCTTTTGAACTTAAAAGAATGGAAATAATTAAGGGATTAGTTGGATTTTAAAGGACAAGTGAGATTACTTTGATTTCTGAATTTACAATCTCATGATTTATAAGGTACTCAGTCACTCACTTGTTTTGTCCTCGCTAACTAAAACAAATATGTTATATTTTCCATGTCAATTTGGTGCAAGGGTCCACCCTTTGTAATTTTTTTTCCAATAAAATCAAAGAAATCCAATAAATTCAAATAATCAAGTGACAATCAACATCTAAATATGATATAAAAGTTAGTTTTGATGCTAAGTACAGAATATTTAAGTAAATGAAAGATGCTTTTGGCTAATAATTTGTACTTCATCAATATAAAATCATTTGTAATAGACTTTGCACTTAATTTAAGGCAGTCTATTACAAATGATTTTTTAATGATGAAATAGCAATCGTTAGTACTTTATCTGCTTGCTTAGGAAGAAGATTGTGACACTCATATTATTATAGACTTATGAATTGTACTATGTATAAGTGTATAACGTATTATTTAGTACTCTATAATTTTTTTTTTTTCTCAAATGTAGAAAATAATTCTATTCTTTTGGTTTTAATAGGACCTCCTCATTTCATAAAAGGAAAAAATTAAATACAATAATCCCACCTTTCGCCCATCTGCTCAAAATAATCTCACCTATTCGAATTCTAGAAATAATCCCACCTTGTAACCCCATCTTCCCAAAATGAACCTTTTTATTTAATGACCGGTTGTTTGAATTGATAACCAGTTTTAAAAGGTAATTTGACACGTGTCACCTTTTAATTGGGTTTTAATAAAATTAAAGAATTTAAGATTTTTTTAAAAAAAATACCCTCTTCTTCTTTCCCCTGCAAATTAAAGCTCCCTCTCCCTCACTGGACGAGCCGTCGCCGACCAGTCAAAAACCAGCTGTTCGCCAGGTCGACCAAACCCAGTTGGCCATCCGCCCTCCTTGATTCCCTCCCACCCAATTCACCAATCACCACCAAATCGTTTCTCTAGTCCTATACCCGACTCACCCACCCAATTGACCAGTCAACTCATTGGCGAGATCCCTGAGTTGAGTCGACTCAGTTCCCTCAACTCCCAAACCGAAACATCAAAATTTTCTCAAAAAGCGTGGATATTAGCCTTCAATTTTAAAATTTTTTGACTTTTTTATCCGGAAATAAAAATTGCCGAAATGTTTATCATGGTCCCTAATACCCTCCGGCAGTCCAATTGGCTGGGTGGAACCATCCAATTTGCCTTTAAACGACCAATTTACCAGTTTACAACTTCCACCGATTTCACTAATTCAAGCCTACCACGAACATTTATGACAACAAATAATGACATATATGGTTCCAAACAGCATTATATGACCCCGATATGTATCCCATAGAATTTCAAGACTTTTCGACACTGGTCTCTAAAACCTCCAAAATTTCTCAAAAAGCGTGGATATTAGCCTTCAATTTTGGAATTTTATGACTTTTTTTCTCCCGGATATAAAAATTGCCAAAATATTTACCATGGTCCCAAATACCCTCCGGGAGTCCAATTGGGTGGGTGGAACATCCAATTTGCCTTTAAACAACCAATTTACCAGTTTACAACTTACACCGATTTCATTAACTCAAGCCTACCACAAACATTTATGACACACAAACGAAATTATATGACCTTCCAGATACATCCCCTGAAATTTCAGGACTTTTCGACACCAGACCCCAAAACCTCCAAAACTTCTCCAAAAGTGTGGATATTAGCCTTTAATTTTGGAATTTTTTAACTTTTTTTTGTTCTGGAAATAAAAATTGCCAAAATGTTTACCATGGTCCTTAATACCCTCTTGGAATCCAAATGATTGGTTGGAACCATCCAATTTGACTTTAAACGAGAAATTTACCGAATTACAACTTGCACCGATTTCATTAATTCAAGCATGCCACAAACATTTATGACAACTTAAAATGATCATATATGGTTCCAAGAAGCATTATATGACCCCGAGATGTATCCCATAGAATTTCAAGACTTTTCGACACTGGTCCCTAAAACCTCCAAAATTTCTCAAAAAGCGTGGATATTAGCCTTTAATTTTGGAATTTTTTGACTTTTTTTCGCCTGGATATAAAAAGTGCCAAAATTTTTACCACGGTCCCAAATAACCTCCGGGAGTCCAATTGGGTGGGTGGAACATCAAATTTGCCTTTAAACAACCAATTTACCAGTTTACAACTTGCACCGATTTCATTAACTCAAGCCTACCACAACATTTATGACAACAAATAATGATCATATATGATTCCACACGACATTATATGACCTCGAGATACATCCTCTAGAATTTAAGGACTTTTCGACGCCAGGCCCCGAAACCTCCAAAACTTCTCAAAAAGTGTGGATATTAGCCTTTAATTTTGGAATTTTTTGACTTTTTTTTGTTCAGAAATAAAAATTGCCGAAATATTTACCATGGTCCCTAATACTCTCTTGGAGTCCAATTGCTTGGTTGGAACCATCCAATTTGACTTTAAACGACCAATTTACCGATTTACAACTTGCACCAATTTCATTAATTCAAGTCTACCACGAACATTTATGACAACTTAAAATGATCATATATGGTATGAAACGACATTATATAACTTCGAGATGTATCCCGTAAAATCTCAATCCTTTTCGACACCGGGTCCTGAAACCTCCAAAATTTCTCAAAAAGCGTGGATATTAGCCTTCAATTTTGGAATTTTTGGACTTTTTTTCGCCTGAAAATAAAAATTACCGAAATTTTTACCATGGTCCCTAATACCCTCTGGGTGTCCAAATAGGTGGGTGAACCATCCAATTTGCCTTTAAACGACCAATTTATCGAATTACAACTTGCACCGATTTCATTAATTCAACCCTACCACAAACATTTATGACAACATACAATGGTCATTTATGGTTTCAAACGCCATTATATGACTTCGAGATGTATCCCGTAAAATCTCAAGCCTTTTCGACACCGAGCCCCGAAACCTCCAAAATTTCTCAAAAAGCGTGGATATTAAGCCTTCAATTTTGAAATTTTTTGACTTTTTCGCCCAAATATAAAAATTACCGAAATGTTTACCATGGTCCTTAATACCCTCTGGGTGTCCAAATAGGTGGGTGAACCATCCAATTTGCCTTTAAACGACCAATTTATCGAATTACAACTTGCACCGATTTCATTAATTCAAGCCTACCACAAACATTTGTGACAACATACAATGGTCATTTATGGTTTCAAACACCATTATATGACCCCGAGATGGATCTACAAAAATCTCATTTCTTTTCGACACCCGGCCCCGAAACCTTCGAAATTTCTCAAAAAACGTGAATAATTAGCCTTTAATATTGGAATTGTCAAACTTTTTTTCGCCCAGAAATAATAATTTCCAAAATGTTTACCATGGTCCCCAATGCCATTCGGAAGTCCAATTGGGTGTGTGGAACCATCCAATTTGCCTTTAAACGGCCTATTTACCGGTTTATAACTTGCACCGGTTTCATTAACTCAAGCCTACCATGAACATTTATGACAACAAATAATGATCATATATGGTTCCATACGGCATTTTATGACCTCAATATGTATCCTCTAGAATTTCAATACTTTTAGACACCGGGCTCCGAATCATCCAAAATTTCTAAAAAACGTGGATATATATTAGCCTTCAATTTTTAAAGTTTTGACTTTTTTTTTTTGTCCGGAAATAAAAATTACCGAAATGTTTACTGTGGTCCTAATATTGTAACACCCTAGAAATTCCTTTCCTTTAAATACACACTTTACTCTTTTAAAAATACGTTTTAGGAATATCTAAGACATTACCGCCACCGTGAAAACGGCTAAGGCAACTATCAAAGATACACAGCGGAAGACTTGAAAACCAAAACTATTTAAATAACACAATTTAAAATACCAAACCAACGAAAATAAAGTTGAAAATCAACAAAACCAAAGCCAATTAAAATCCACTACAACTTGGAACCATTTAAGGCCCTTATTCAAAACCGAAACAACCAATCTTTTGTGTTAGTCCATAAAGTAATATAATAAAATATTCAATGCATAAAACACATCATATTCTAATAGAAGCTAGCATGATTCTCTCTTCACTCATGCCCCGTCATGAACATGCTTCAATACCTGAAAAGTGTATCTCTACTTGCCCCTACTACTCTCCATTAAAATGGATCATCGTAGGGCCAAGATAAAGACATGCCTAGACACAAACAACACACCCAATCAGCAAAGCTGAGTACATAGGCGTAATTAAACACACTAACATGCATTCTCCTATCATCACACACACTTACCTCATTGCACCCGTTTACAAGCACACACAACAATCAACAAGACACTTTAACTAGACCCTAAAAATTCATTTAGCGTTGATTACGCATCGAACGGGTTTTCAACTAATCCTATCCCAATAAATTGGGGTTAACTGACACGGGAGCTAACCGTGCCAGCAACAAACCTGTGCCACACATAGGTGGCGGAATTCCAGCGCATAAAAAAAGGAATATACAGCGTCCTGTACTCCGTTAGAAGTTATGATCAAATATAAAGTCACATAACTCCCCCATATGTTCATACTCAAGGTATATACGTTCCAAGAGTTTTGGTGCGTAATCTCTTTCACTTTACGTTATTTATATATTATTAGACTTGGTGATGACTCTCAAGGCATAATAAGTCAATCAACAATAATTATTCAATCAAACAAATATACCAATTTAATTCTTGAATAATTAGTGACAACATAAAATTTAATGTTGAACCCTTTTTAATTCTATCTCAGTGTCGAAGACACCTTAAACGCATAAAACGCCAACAATCCTATACCTCGGTGTTAAAACACCTTAAGTGCACAAAGGCACCAACATACAATTTATTCCTTGTGTACATAGACACTTATATAGCTCCTTTCTCA